AACTGAGCCACCCAGGCGCCCCCTAAAAACAGCTTTAATGTACCTAAGTCTCTTCACCCATGTCATTTATTATTGAACTAGGGTTGTTTATCGTAGGCAAATACAGAGTAAATTAAATAGGCGTAATGTGGGTAAGGAGGTTGGAAAAAGGACAATGCCTGAGATTATTTTTTGAAAGTAATATGCCTCATACATGTTCATGTATCTCTTCCATAGAAAATCAGTTAGAAGCTAGTGATAACAGATTGGTGTGATCTTTCTTTTCCCCTCGTTAAAGAGGTTCTAGGGGACTGGAAAGCTTCTGAACATTTTCGTTCTCCTGCCCTGAGAATGAAATTCCAGTTCAATTTTCACAATTTACATCAAGGACTAGGAGATACAAAACAGGATTTATAAGCAGACAACAAAATAAGACAGGGTAAGAATGCACTGAGATAAGCTCAAGGCTTGGTTCTTAAATTATGCAGGTATGAGTTTTAACATGCTGAGTGTAATAAACTGATAACCCAATTCATTAATAAACCTTAATTTCTTAAAAACCAGTTTTGGGGGGAGGGGCGCCCGGCTGGCTCAGTTGGTTGAATGTCTGCCTTTGACTCAGGTCATGATCTCGGGGTCCTGGGATCGAGCCCCTCAGCAGGGGCTTCTTCCTCTCCCTCTGCCCCTCCCCTTGCTAGTGGACACACTCTCTCTCAAATAAATTAATAAAATCTTTAAACACACACACACAGTTTCTGGGGTTTGGCCTTAATTCAAAGCCATCCTTGGACCAAGTCTCTCTCTTCTTCCAACCATCTATTCCATTTTTTACTAGCTACCCATTTGTGAACTTTTCTTGTCCCACTCCAGTTCATCAATCACCAACTTCCTCTTCATTTAGTATTTACTAATGCTGAGGAGTTGGGTCTATAGAGAGCAATGAAACATAATCTCTATCCTCCAGGCCCTAACAGTGATAAGGAAAAGAAAATAGTAGAAAAGGAAAAGGAAATAAATAGACACAACTATGTGACAAAAGCTACAGGAGAGAGAAGTGTAAGTGGACACTGAAATTTTAAAGGATGAATAGATATTCAGAGAACAGACAAAAAAGAGACACTGCAGAAAGAAATAAAACATGTACAGAGACAAAGGGATAAAAGAGTTTAGCTGACCGTTAAAAACTGCCAAAGAGTTGTACAAAACTAGCACAGGTACAGGTGAGGAAAAGGTGGGAAAGATGGGAAAAGGTCAGTTTTGTGAGCCACATTACACAGTTAAGACTATTTGAAGTCAGTGATAGAAAGGAGACACGGCATGATCATATATGCATTTTAGAACTTTTAGAGTTCTCAACTGGAGGCAATTTTGCCCCAGGGACATTTGGGAATGTCTGGAGACCTTTTTTGGTGGTCACAATTGTAGGGGGCTGGAGGTGAGGAGTGCTACTAGCATTTACTGGGGCAGGGATGCTGATAAAACACCCTACAACGCACAGGACAGTAGCCTACAACAAAGAATTATCTGGCCCAAAATGTAAATAGAGCTGAAGTTATGAAACCCTGATTTAGAGCTAAATCTTACATAGGGTACTGGAATAAGGCTAGCCGCAAGGGATTAGGTAGTCCATAAATTCTAGGACAGCAGAGGTCATGTTCTTGTTTATCCTGCAACTCCAGATCCTAGCCCAGTGCCAGATATAATACAGATTCTATATTTACTTAGTAAGTGAATGAATGATGTTAGAGCCCCAGGCAAGAAGTACCAAGGCCTAAAATGTGGCTGTTGCAGTGGTAATGAAAAACAGATTGAAGAGACTAGAATATATATGCCTTATTTACTAAATGAATGTAAGATATGAATTAAGAAGTCTAACTCCCAGGCTTGGAATAACAAGTTTCAGAGGGTCAGAAATTCTATTTTACACATTTTAAAGTTTCAGACAAATGTGAGATATTCAAATTGAGAAGTACAACAGTTTGCATGTAGTCTGAAAAAATCTAAGAAAGGAAAATCCAATTTATCACCCCACTCTTCTTAAATGATCCCTCTGAGTTTAAAACAGTAAGTTCAACTTAAAAAATAAACATACCCTAAATGCAGTATGGTAACCTGGATCAGATCCTGGAACAATAAAAGGTAATTAGTGGGAAAATCTGGTGAGATATTAAAAAGGTCTGGTGTTTAGTTAATAATAATGTGCCAATGTGGGCTCTATAGTTTTAAGATTATAAAATTAGGAAAAATTGCATAGAGGGTATAAAGGAACTGTGAATTGTCTGTGCAACTTTTAGTAAATAATTTCTTATTCCAAAATTAAGTTTATTTAAAAAAACCTGTATCTCAAACATGTCAAAATTTAAATATCTGAATCTATAGTATAAACTTCTAAATCTATAGTTTATGAAAAGCTAAAATGTTAAGCTTTTTTTTCTTATGTCCATTGATACTTGGTAGTACTACACAGACCAAGGAAAGAGCAAAGAAAATCTTAAAGGTAGCCAGAGAGAAAACAGCAAAGAGGAATCAACCAAAGATATATATATTTTTTTAAATCTTCTAACCCATACTCTGTGGTAACTTGAAATGACACAATGTATCACCATGCAGGCAAAAAGCTTAATGAACTTTTCTTTCCATTACCACTCTATTCCCAATTTTGTAGCAATGACAAAACATTCAAGACTGTCACCAAGGGGAACCGACAAGACATGACACTAACAATGACTATATAAGTAGAGTCGTTTTTGATTAGTCCAGCTTTGCTTTAGTGACTTAAAAAAAATTATATGCAAATACAAAAAGCAGGTAAAATTGGCTTTCTAATAGTTACTTTTTTAAATATAAATTATAGAACAAATATTTTCCTGAAAATATGAATGGAAGAAAAAAACATTTATCTTAAACCCTAGAAGTGAAATTCGTCTTTCAAAGAGGTACAAAAACGACCTACTTGGTAATTAATTCTGTTACCTAAATACACCAGTTGCATTTCTCTGCTGTGACATAAAACTCAAGATATTTGTTGCCATATTCCCTATATCCATGTCAGCAATACTTACTGATCTGACCATTATGATTTAATACCAATTTTCTTGAGTAGCCAAATGCTACTAGTTAGCTACTGAAAGCTAAACTAAGTTTAGCTTATTGAAAACAAGGCATAGCAAAATAGAGTTAGTCTCGTCTAATGACGCACAAAATGTGTAACCCTGGTCAAGATGCCGAACCTTTCAATGCCTCAATTTCCTTCTCCATAATATAAGAACAGCTCCTCTTACAGACCATTTAAGGTTTTAAAAGAAAAAATAAAGGGAAAATGCCTGGCACACAGTAATTACTCACATAGCAAAAATTAAGAGAAGTTACTGTCAATCATTCTTGTACTTTCATTGGCTACCACAGGGCCACTGGACCTGCAGTTTTTCAAGAGAGGATGAACTTCTCCCTGTAGGTGAAGCTCCTCTAATATCTTACCTTCCCCTTCTTTAAAGAAAACTGTTCTGCCCCCAGTATAATTTTCTAAGTGCAAACATAAAATATACTCTATAGTGACTCAAATCCTTTCTAATTTTAATAGTTGTTCTTTTCATACAGAGTCCCTATAGATATCATTATGTAACTAAAGACACTCATATGCTGAAAAAAAAGATCATCCATGATTGCCTGCCATACAAATATTACACAGGATACCCTTGGAAAGGTCAGAGACAAACCAGAATATGTCACAGAGACAAAAAGATGAAAATCATAAAAGAGAAGGTGATAAAGAAGATTAAGTAAGAAAGTCTAGCATCTGTTCAACTGGGGTCCCAAAGGGGAGAGAAAGATGGTATTTTAAAAGATAATGGCTGAGAATTTTCCAATGCCAATAAAAGACATTACAGATTCAAGAAACCCAATGGATCTCAAACAAGATAAAAAAAAAAACAACAAAAACCCACCAACACCAAGACATATCATAAACTGCAGAAAACCAGCAAGAGATAACCTTCCAAGCAGCAACAGTTAGGAGATTTAAACCCACATCTACCAATAATTATATATATAGGATAAAATGCCCTACACGATACAAAGATTGCCATACTGTATTTTTAAAAAGCCACTTCTATGCTATTTTTAAGAGATATGGAAAATAAAAAGACAAAAAAAGGTTAAAAGTAAAACAATGAGAAAAAGTATACTATATTAAGCAAAAGGCAAAACTGTAATGTTGATGATCAGTATAATAACTATCCAGAAAAAGAAGAAATAAGTAGGATTTGGATAGGTGGAAGAAGGAAAATAACAATCCTAGATAGGCAAAAGAGTGGGGGTGGGAGAAGAGGCTATGACCAAAATAAGAAAGTCTCTGAAAATTAAAAGTTTAGACTGGTGCAAGAGAAAGTATGACACCATTAATATATCTTAACCTCTTTTCACTTGAGCAGAAGAACAACAGAGCAAAAGTAGAATTAAATAAGATTAATACTACAGTGTTATAAGTATGACCTGGAAGGGAAAGAGGGAGAAGACATGAAAGCAAGATCAGTTTGGAAGATGGTACAGCAATCCCGGTAGGAGAAGGGCCTGGTAGTAGAAGAGATAAAGGAAGGAATCTAGGAGACATTTCAAGAGGAAGACCTATCTGCATCAGTTTTCCTTTGAAATTTTAAAGGCAAAAAAAAACACTGCTTCATAAAAAAAACAAACTATTTTTGTTTTCCACCATTATAACTAATCTGTAATACAATATACAGTCGCCCACAAAAATCAATCTAATACATTTTAGGAAACAATTTTTTGTAAAAGTAATGTATCAGTGAGCTAATCTACATTTGGTACAATATGTACAATCCATAATTACACATTATGACTTCTTCACTATTAAGATTACTGATATAGTAAAATATGATAGCTTTTTCCTCTTTGAATGCTAATGCACAGAATATAAAATTCTTTTTAAGTAACTAAAACATTTTTATTTTCAAAAGCTCTTTACCAAGAGGATATCAACTTGGTAATGAACTCAAACAACTCACCAATGCTGGGTGGGCTACCATAGTTAATTGGTGACTCGGGTGGTCTTCCACAATGCAATGCAGCCAGAGCAGATCCTTTCCACACAACATGCTTGCAGCCTATTAAATACACATATTTTTATGGATCCAAAAATAGGGACACACACACAAAAAAGAATGTCTAAATCCTATTAGAAATTTTTCATACTTTTATTTGTGCGTAGCAAGGACTGTCTTCCAGCTCCTAATAAAGTTTGTACTCCAGGAACGCTTTGTGGAATTTCTTGTTCAAGAAGAGGTCCTAGCCGATGACATATTTGCAGCAAGTGATCAGGTGCTAAATGTCTGTAATACTTCACCTATTATGTGAAAGACATATAAAATACTTGCTAAATAAGGTGATACAGTTCTTTATAATAAAATATATTTTAAAAAATAGAGTAATTTGTTCCGGCTAGTCAACATTTCATTTCACTTGGGGTAAAAGTTCATGTTTATTCTGTGCAACCACCTGACTCACAGAATAAAATAGTTATCCATTTAATTCATTGAGGAGAAAAACTGCTAAAGAATTAATGTAACTAAATATAGCCAAGTTATAAATTAGAAGATTTTAGTCAATGCAAATATTGAACAAAGAAAAAATATATAGCATTATAACCTAAAATGATTATGTTGTAGTTTAACATTTTCATTTTCAAAAACTTAAAAAAGTCATCCAACTGTAAAACATAATGAGTATTTTGGATCTTTTACCTTATAAAGAATATCTCCAGAATAATTAAGGATTAAAAAAAAACCTTGACAGTCCATGTTCTCATCACAAAATTTAAAAACACTTATATAGGGGGCCCTGGGTGGCTCAGTTGGTTAAGAGGCTGCCTTCAACTCAGGTCATGATCCCAGGGTCCTGGGATTGAGCCCCACATTGGGCTCCCTGCTTGGTGAGGAGTCTGCTTCTCCCTCTCCCTCTGCCTGCTGCTCTGCCTACTTGTGCTCTCTGTCAAATAAATAAATAAAACCTTTTAAAAAAAAAACCAAAACACTTAGAGAGCCTCTATGAAGAATTTTGTAATTTATTCACAAAAAACCTTAGAAAGGCGAAATTCCAACTATTAATTTAAATAAGTTTATAAAATAAATCTACCTACTACAAAAAGTTTGGGCACTTTTGGAACAACTTCAAACACGCTTAATTTATGCTAGCATTTGAAAGCAAGATATGAAATTCTAGTATTTTTATTATCCATCCTGAAATTATTTTCAAAGAATCTAAAGAGAATTAAAGGAAAAAAGTATTTTATCGCTTTATAGTTAGATTATCAAGTTATAAAAAATTTCTCAATATACTACCTAAAATATTATATAGTTCAACTGTTCTCAAAGTGAGTTCTGGGAACCCCTGGAGGTTCCTGAGGTAAAAATCATGAATAATACTAAAATGTTATTTTGCTTTTTCACTCTTTCATGAGTGAATTTTTCAGGGGGCCACCTGATATGTGATATCACAAAAGACTGAATGAGGCAGCAGATATAAGAATCTATTTAGCCAGACATTAAACGTTTCCCAAAATGTAAAACAATGCCACTCTTAATAAATTTGTTTTGTTTTGGAAAATAATTGCTACAAAAAATGTTAATGAGTTTTTTTAATTTAAATATTTTAAAAATGCTTTAATTTTTAAATGATAAATACAAAGTGATTATAATCCATGTAAACAAAGAAAATTCAGTAATTTTTATTAATATAAAGGGGTTCTGAGGCCAAGTGTTTGAGAACTGCTACTCAAGTTCACATAGTAATGGCAATTTTAAAATGAATTCCTTATAAGATTGATTTGGGGAGGGAAGTAAAGGGTTAAATCATTTCATTCCATCTTGTAGTATCTGTTATACTCTACCGATAGAAGAACATGAAAGGTATTTTTAAAAAGTTAGCTAATATTCATCCTTCTAAGCTGAAGCCAGTTAAGAGAAACCAACCTTACCTTTTATAATAATACATTCCTGTCATGGAGACAACATGCAGCCATACTGCCACACTGATAATTTAAAATAATACAGAGTGTGGCATATAGTAGTATTACTGGAATGAATACTTTAGAAAAGATGATCTAATACAAATTATATATACTATATTATGTGCCTCTGAAAAATCCTGAGATAAATCTATTTGATTTTGTTTAATGCAATTTTCCAAACTTGTGAAGCTACAGATTCCCTTTCCCCTAATATCATCTTGACTTAAAACATACTCTTTCAAACACTAGTATGATTAGCTAAGCAAAAACACATTTAGAATAAAATATACCAAAATAGAAATTTTTTAAATTGTATTTATACTTTTCTCTAATCTTCCCTAAAATAATTTACTTAAAAATAAAATTTAAAGGAAAACATCTACAACATTTATAGGGTCCCTTCCAGTTCTAAACTGTATATAATTATTCTAATGTAATTTCTTTACATTGATCTAAATTCCTTTCAAAAATTTTACTTTAACCATGAAGTTCATTACTTATTAACTTTAGTTTTGTGATTATGCTGTTTTAGAGTCTTTTTGCAAAATACATTTCAGCTGAAAATCCTAATTGAAGAATTCAAAAATATTATGAATCCACTTTTTCAGAGTCTTTCCTTGGTGATTTAGTGTATTTTTCAAAATCGACTTTCACTTTAAAGTTAGGAAAGATACTTTCAGTTCTTAAAATCCTCAGGCTTCCTGGCTTATGAGACTTTATATAAGCTGATCCCTCTGCTGGAAATCTTTTCTTACCCATCCACCTCCCCATCTCATTATCCTTCATGTCTCAGTCTATACTTCACTGCCCTCCATGACCTATTACAACACTTACACTCTTTCTTTTTGGACACACTACCTTTTCGTTTCCATACCACATTATACTCCTTCCCAAAACGTTCTTTTACCCCACTCATCAGTGCTCTGTAGTACTTTTATCATATTAGTTGCTCGTATCTAGATCTCAGTGGGAATCTAATTATAGTTACGATCCTCTACCTCCAAAAAACACACATACATGCCCGAACTCTGTCTTGCCCTGTTTTGGAGGTTCCTAAGACCCCTGCAGTATCCTAAGATTGCCAATTTACTTGTCCATGACCTATATTGGAAGACATGGGATTAGATCTTGTTTACCTGTCTACCCAGTACCTAATGTAGTACTTGTAGTTAAGTGTTTGTTAGATAAGTGAACACATGACAATATGCAGTAACTACTGACTCTTCCTTTTCTATCTAGCCATTAAATGGTGAAGTTCTTAAGATCCAGGATTCCAGAGCCCAGTTCCACACTTCATTTCTTCTCACTCAATACTCTCTCCTTGAACAATTATTATACGAATGATTCTCAAATTTGTATCTATAGTCTACACCTGCATATCAAACTTCCTTAAGACATCTCTCTTTGGAGTCCCAAAACCTCAACTCAACATATGCAAAAATGAACTCATGATCCTCATGTCAACACCCCCCCTCCCAAAATGTTTCCTACCTTGACAAACAACACCATCCATCCAGCCTCAAATCAAGAAGTCACATTTTTTTAATACTGCCTATTCCTCCCTTCCACCTCATTCTTAACATCCAAGTAGTCACCAAGTTCAACTGATTTTCTCTTCCTATTCTTAAACTCTATCTCCATAACAATGACCCAATTTCAAATCATCTTTGCAATAAACTCCCATCTTTCCCACATCCACTCATACCTCCTACACCTCATTCTATTCTATAATCTCTTCTATTCCAAATCTGTTCTCTATATTGCAATCATAATGCTCTTTCTAAAACCTTTATCTGGTCAAGTCATCCCTACTTAAAACACTTCAGAGACTTTCCTTGCTCTTTGGCCATCCAACTCCTTAACATGGGTCTACAAATCCTGAAAGGCACATATGGTCCACTCATTTCTTTGCTCCATATGGCACATCCCAACCCTACACGCTCCAGCCCCCACTTTCCACATTTAGACATATTGGTCTTCCTTCAGGTTCTTTACCTGTACTCTCTCCTGTTAGGCTTTTCCCATGTGGCACACTCCACATTTCCCCACATCTCCTTGCCCAAACAACTCTTTTATGTGCTTCAGATCTTCCCTCCAATGTAACCTCCTTTGTTTCCCTTTACTTTACTAGTCTAAGTGTATTATCTTGGCTGCATGCTCTTGGTGACTCTTCCTTATCATGCACCAGTCTATGATTACACATTTAAAAGTTCAATAATTTAATGCTTTTCTTCTCAACTTCACCATTAACTAGAAGAGATTAAGAACCATGTCTTTTTTTGGTTCTAGCTGCATCACATACATACATTCATATACACACACACCCCTATCCACCCACCCATCCACCCAATATGCACTTTTAAAAAAACCAATGACAACTTTCTTTTACTACCTTTTTAAAACATTATTCTTAATGAATATTAATCCATGTCACTATGGTCAATAAAATGTAAACGGAAAAATTTTAAGACATTAATATGGTTCAAAAAAATTAAAATGTTCATTTATGGCTATACATATATGGTTTTTAGTTTCCAAAGGAGTAACAACACCGTACCTTTAATATTAACTTAAGATTTTTAGTTTAAATGGACTTTTATTTATTTATACTAATAAATAACTGAAAGGAAATGAAAATTAAAAGGGAAATCAGAAGTGATACTGTAATAAAATCCTTTATCCAAAACATCTGAAATCTGGATTCTCGGTAACTGTACCCTATCATTTGGAAAAACAAAACAACATTCTCGATTCTAATATGCTGATTACTTTCCATGACCAGTGCTGCTTTAAATTTCTTAAGATATTCAACACATAAAAAGTATGACCAAATTATAAAGTTAACTGTGATAAATCTTAACACTATCATAGCTAACACATATTGACTGCACTCTAAATGCTAAGCCTTGTGGTAAGTGCAGTAAGTTATACATACAGAAGTTCAGCTCATTATTTTAACAACCCTAAGAGATCTGAACTATTACTTCCATTAATAAATTATTGTACAGTAAGATAAAACAAGGTTCCCAAGATCACACACATGTTAGTGGATGGTAGAGATAAGACTCAAACCAAGACAGTGTAACTCCAGTCCTCATTCACACTGCCCGTAGTACCTATTGCCTCAAATAAATATATGTATTATTTCAATATTGAAGCTTTTAAAAAAAAGACATTTTGAATAGTTTTCAACACAGACATTAAAGTGAGACAGAAACATTCTTAAGTTCACTTTCACTACTAAGCAAACTAGCACAAAAGCACAAATTCCTATAAGTAAAGGATACCTATAGGTAAACTAAGGATAGAAAATAAAACTACAATAGGGTGACAATCCT